TGTTTGAACCCACCAGCTACTCCATGGGAGAAAGGTGTAGCTCTCTGCTTCTGTAAAGATTACAACTTTGTAGTTTTGTAATCCTGTAAAGATTAAACCCTTTGGGACAGTTTTACTCTGTCTTATAGAGTCATTATGAATTGGAATTGATTGGGCAATAATAGGTTTTCTACTGTAATAGTTTCTGACTGAAAGTCTATTTTGTCTGATACTAGTATAGCCATCCAACTCTCTTTTGGTTACTATTTGCTTGACACATCTTTTTCCATGCTTTTACCCTCAATCTATTCATATTTTGGGGTCTAAAGTGAGCCCCATTGTTTTGGTTCTCTACTGCCGTACCAACAGAAAATACCACAAATGGGTGGCTTTGACAAAGTGATTTACTCTCTTACAGTTTAGGAGGCTAGAAGTCTAAGTTCAAAGTGCCAGCTCTGGGGTCTAGGTGAAAGCCCCTCGACCTTAGGCTTCAGCTCCGTCTTTTGGTCCTGCTCCATTGGAGCTGGAGGTGTCTTTTCCCTCAGGCAGCTGCTGGCTGCTGAGGCTAACAAGCCCAAGGTTGACAAATAAAATGTCACAGTCCAAAATTATCAAGCCACATGGCAGGCCACTAATTCCAGTCCATTAACAGTCCCAGGATCGGCAGACAACATGGCAGCCTGATGAACAATGGCTTGGCTACAGGCAGGAGTCAAGCATGCCAAAAGCAAGAGACCTTCCTCAAAGCTGTTTCTTATATAAAGGAAGCAGACCACATCCCTAAAGCAGCTACTCGGCTGCTCCAATAGATTCCACTATGGAGTTGATTACCAGACTCATTATGCAGAATAACTATGTTCAGCTGCTCAGCCACTCAAAACCAGGTTCAGGCAAGGTGACAAACAACTACCACACTCAGGTGGCATACAGTTGGATCATGTTTTTGTTTTTCAATCTGTTCTGCCAATCTCTGCCTTTTGAGCAGAGTTTAACCAATCCACATTTAAAGTAATTACTGATAAGAAAGGACTTAGTTCTGTCATTTTGCTATTTGTTTTCCGTATGTCTTATACCTTCTTTGTCCTTCAATAAAGCATTTTTCTGTGGTTAGTTGATTTTTTTTTTTTTTTTTGTAGTGAATCATTTGATTCCCATCTCATTTCCCTTTGTGTAAAGTTTTTTAGATACCTCCCTTGTGATTACCGTGGGGATTATGTTTAACATCCTAAATTTATAACAATCAATTTTCACTTTAGTTTCAATAGCATACAAAAGCTGCTCCTATAAAGCTCCATTTTCCCTATCCATATTGCATCTTTATTACCTTGGGTGCCCAGTAACAATAATAATAATTATAGGTTTATAATTATTTTTATTCATCTGTCCAAATCATGTAGGAAATAAAAAAAGTTATACACCAAAAATGCAATACCGTTTTTTATATTTGCTCATGTAGTTACCTTTACCAGAGACCTTTATTTCTTCATACAGCTTCAAGCATATGTATAGTGCCCTTTCCTTTCAACCTGAAAGGCCTCCCTTTAATATTTCTGGTAGGGTAGGTAAACAATGCACTCAGCTTTTGTGTATCTGGAAATGTCTTACTTTTAGTCTCATTTTTGAAGGACAACTTTGCTGGATATAGAATTTGTGGTTTGTGTGTTCTCTTTCAGCACTTTAAATGTGTCATCCCAATGCCTTCTGGCCTCTGCAGTTTCTGAGCAGAAGTCATCTGTGACTGTTACTGAGGATCCCTTGTACATAGCAAATAGCTTCTCTCTTGCTGCTTTCAAGATCTTCTCTTTGTGCTTGTCTGTTGACAGTTTGATTATAACATGTCTTGTTATGGGAGTTTATTCTACTGGGAGTTCAACGAGCTTTCTGGATTTGTAGATTCCAAGTCTTTTATCAAATTTGGGAAGTTTTTGGCCTTTATTTCTTCCAGTATTCTTTCTGATCCTAGTTTCTTAGTGCTGCTGTAACAGAAATACAAGTGGGTGGTTTTGGTGAACAGAAATTTATTTTCTCACAGTTTAGAATGTAAGTCTGAATTCAGGGTGCTAGTTCTAAGGGAACAACTCTCTTTCTGTTGGCTGTGGAGGAACATCTTTGTCTCTTTCACCTTCTATTACTTGTTTCCTTGATAATCTTCATGTGGCATCTATATTCCTCCATTTGTCCTTGCTTGTTTCTGTCTCTAATGTACTCTTTTTAGATCTCAAAAGTGATTAGATTTAAGACACACCCTACATTGACATTGCCTCATAATCATAATAAAGGTAACTATATTCCAGATGGAATTACATCCACAGGTATAGGAGTTAGGATTCAAATACATATTTCAAAAGACACAATTCAATCCATAACAGCACCTTTCTCTCTCTCTCTTTCTCCTTCCAGGATTCCATTATGGATATGTTGGTCCACTTGACTATTTTCCACCCATTTCTTAGGCTCTGTTTACTTTTCTTCAATCTTTTTTTCTTTTTGCTTCTCTGACTGGATTATTTCAATTTTCCTATCTATAAATATGCTGATTCTTTGTCTGCTTGCTCAGATCTGCTGTTTAACTCCTCTAGCGAAATTTTTATTTCCATTATTGTAATTTTCAGCTCCATAATTTGGTTCATTTTTATTATTTCTATTTCTTTATTGATATTCTCATTTTAATCATACACCATTTTCCTGAATTCCTTTAGGTTTTTGAGCATATTTAATACAGATGTTTTAAAGTAATTATCTAGTTAAGTCCAACATCTAGGCCCAAACAAATTCCAAACATGTGGTTCTCTCTGCCTGAATAGCTAGTCCCCAGTTTTTCACATTGACTTCAGCCCAGAGGTAATTTCCTCAGTGAAGCCTTCCATAATCTGATGTAATACCCTCCTCCCTAGCTAGTCTATCCCACAGCCCTGTTTATTAACTTCATAGTACTCATCAAGTTCTTCAATGACTTTGTGTTTTATCTGTTTCACATGTTTATTATCTTTCTTCTGTCACTTTAATATGCCACATCATAGCACTTTATTGCTATGAAGACTCAGCTTTTTCTACCTGGGCCCCAGTGAATTTTCAGTGGCTAATGAAGTAAGTGGGAACTCTGGTGGTGTAGTGCCTAAGGCATTTCACTGCTAACCAGAAGGCTGGCATTTCAAACCCACTAGGCATGGAAGAAAGGTTGGGGAATCTACTTCTGTAGTGATACTGCCTTGGAAACCCAAGGAGGGGTCGTTAGGAGATGGATCTGACTCGACAGCAGTGAGTTTGGCTTTTTTGGTTAATATAATGAGTGTTCGTTCCATGCATAACAGGTATCAAATGATATTGAATAACTGAATGATTGCATGAATAATTCTTAGAAGAAAATGTCTCCCTTTTTGATGCCTTTTCCAATATCTTTAAGGTATTAATTTATGAGATTACAATGAATTTACTACATTACCAAAAAAAAAAAAAAAAAGAAAACCTCACTGCCATCAAGTCGATTAGACTCATAGTGACCCCTCCTTGGGTTTCTGAGGTGGTATCTCTACAGAAGTAGATTGCCCAACCTTCCTTCTGAGGAGTGGCTGGTGGGTTTGAACCACCAGGCTTTTGGTTAGCAGTCAAATGCCTTAGGCACTATGCCACCAGAGCTCAAATTTTATTCTCTCACATATTGTACTAGGCACCTTACAGGGGCTGAGGTTCAGAGAATAACAGAACCCAGACCCCGCCTCAAAGCACAACCATCATATTGTTCTACCATCTCTCTTTGTGTGTCATCCTCACCTTAGGACACTGGGGATGTGTTCTTCAAAGGAATGGGCTGGTATTATTCATCTTTGCATCTTGGCACCCAGGACAGAACCCAACTCCTCAGAAGACATGTATTGTATGAAGGAGGGCAGTAATGACCCTTGCGGTCTAATTTGTACAGAATGTACAGAGAAAAGGCATAGGAAACACTGACGTATGATTTTATTTTGCCCCTTAAATCTGAAGATGCTTGGGGAAATATATGTAACCTGTTACTATGAGGACAAGAAAAACAAAAATACAGGCCTAGTACTTAGAGCAGATGATGTGATATTAAATAATAACACAGAAAAAGTAGAAATATTTTACTACCATTCTTCTCTTATTGTTAAATAAAAAAGGTGGAAAAAAGATGGTTAAAAAATAACCGAGGAAAAAGTAACTCAAGTGCAAGAAAAGACAGGCACAGAAAGAGAAACTGGATTTGCTTTAAATGAGTTCTCAGAGGACACAACAGCTTTCTTCAAATGGTTATCTGGAGAATTGTGGAGTGAAAGAGAGATCAACTTTTTCATAGGTGGTTCCAGACAGTAAAAGCAGTAGTTACCAGGGAAGTTACTAGAAGGGGGAGTTAACTTGCAATGAGGCCAGTCCCTTGTCAACGAGAGGCTGCCCAGCAATACAAAGGGCTGCCTTGTCATGGAACCAGTCCAATCAGGAGTAATGTCTATGGTCCCAACCATGGATGACTTGACCATAGAGGACGTGACCACAAAGAACCCCAGAATATGCCTAAGGCCAAGTTTTTGAGATTCTCTTCTTCTCAAAATATCAACATACAGTGCATACTCTGAGCCCTTTTTCACTAAACACAGTTCTAGAGAACATTCTTTAATAACTTCTGAAGAGGAGAAAAGTATTAGAAGATTTAAAATCTAGTCATTGTTGCCACTGGTTGATATATAGCTTAGAAGAAGTTATATGACCTTAGTGAGTAGAAGGAAGGACTGACACTATTGGTATAAATCAAACAGGAGAGGATGGCTAGTAGCTGTGTGCTTATCAATCTGCTTCAGGATAAAATTATCAGGAATAAAATAAAATTTTGTCTTCTGGGACAAATTTAAGGCGAGGACAGGGGAATTACATGGATGAAGGTGTAAATCCAGAAAACAGGTCAGCTTAATGGGATGGCTATACTTATCCTGCACATATGATGTTGATATTACTCACACATAACTGCAGGAGTGGTCCCCTTATGAATGGTGAGCTCAGTACGTTACCCGCATGGCTTCCTGAATGTGGTCCTGTCGTATCAGTTCTGCTGAGCAGTCCATGTACCACTTCAAACAGCGGATGAGCTCCCTGGGAAAGAGTGCAGTTCCAGAAAGCCCACTTGAATCCCAAAGCAATGCAGCCTAAAATGTTTCTATTCTGTATTAGCCATATAGAAAATAATATTCCGCTGATGAGCTAGAATAGAGTGATGGTTTTATTATAGCTATGAAACCTTTATGTCATCTGAGACCAGATAACATCCCTGTCCCTGAAGAGTTGCCACATTCTGATCAGCAATTACAATCATCCTCCACAGCTTCCGACACACTTTTTTGCCTTTAATTCAATAGAGTTTGCTCAAAGACTTAGATTGGATGCATATTTTTGTTTTGTTTCAAATTGTTGTATCTATAGAACCTATAATAATGAGTAGTAAATAATAGGCTCTGAATAAAGATGTATAGTCCCCTGCTCCCCAATTTCCCCTTCTATCCTATTTCCTTAGGACCAAGTTACTTGAGTGGAATGGGGATAACTGGTCAGAAGGTCTTCATATTTACTTGGCAACAGAGCACAATGGTCAGGAATTCAGGCCCTAAACACAGCAGGATTTACATCTGAGACCTATCAGTTTCTTGTTCTGTGTCCATGGGTAAGTTATTTAATCTCTCTGTGCCTCACTGTCTTCATTTAAAATATGGAGGAAGTACTAGTACTATCCCAAAGTTATCATGAATACTAATGAGATGACACATGCAAAGCATGTAGCACAGTGTCCTTTCTCCAAAGTGACATCAAAGTATAAGAGTTTGATAGTATCACCACTTTTAGATTTTTACTTATATTTTTAAAAAGGAAGAAAATAGTGATGTTCTATTGGTTTAATATTTTTAGATAACCTGTGAATGTTTCCTATATTTTCTTATTACAGGTATCCCCTGCTTTTCAAAACTTCATTTTGTGCCACTTTGCTTTTATGAAAGACTACATTTAGTACCTGTTTTCACCAACTGAAAGAAATGTGAAGAGGATGTTTTCTTTTAAGAAAAAAGGCAAAAACGGAAACTAGCGTTCAGTGTTTATTATGCAGTGAGCCATTAAAGAGGCAGTGCTCACCCCAAGCAGCAAGATTGGGATTCCTACGCTCCTTCCCTGGGAACTACACTCAACATCTCAGCATCAAGCCACTATAGCTTTGAACTGTGTCTGTGAACACTATATGTTAGTGTTACTGTAGGTTTTATGTGTTATTTAGTATGAATTGATAGGTTATTTTTTGTGTTTGGGCATGCTCAAAAATTTTTCTCATATAAATGGTAATTGCTTCTTTGCTTTATACTACTTTGGTCTACAAAAGGTTTTATATTGGAATGCTCTACTTTCAGAGAGAGGGGGTAACTTTTTATCTCTTTTATGGACTATCCTTTTATTTTCTATACATTTATCTTTGGGTACTATATTTAGCTCTTCACATGTCTCTCAAAAATGTAAAGTTTATTTTCAGCAGCTTTGCCACCATTTCTTAGAAGAAGAACCATGGCAACTACGTAGTAAATTCTGGTTTGAAATGTCATTTAACTGGCTGGAGCTGATTTTTTTTTTTTTTTTAAAGCATATTATTTCTGTTCAAACACAAACCCTTGTGATAATGCTAAATACAACTTACTTGTATGCTAGGGCTCCAGCAAAGTGCTTCTGGATGTACGTGTCCATCACAGGTCGAAAGTGGAAATACTTGATGTCTCGGAGCAGGTTGATGATGAATACCTACAAGAGATAGAGGGCAAGACACCAGGGTTCACTGGAAGCTTCAGACCTATCCTCTGTAGGAAAGAGAAGATCTTGCTTTTTCAATGAGTGGTAAACTGTCAGTATTTCTCTAGTTTTTCCACAGTTAGTGAATGCAAGATTTCCATTCTGTGTCTGTATTTCAGTCTTATCTGTTTTCTTTCTACCACCACTCCTAACCCAGACCAAGAGCTCATGAGCCTATGCCTGTGTTACTCTGAATTTCTCTCTTCATAATAATGCTGAGTGGTATAATACACAGCAGGGAAGACAAAATAATACCTATGTAGGTGGCACAAACATTAAATTCCAACAATGTGGAAAAGAGAGAGAAAATAATTTCCTGTGATCCAAATAACTCCAAGAAAGCCTGAGCCGTTTAAAAATAGGGCTGGTCAGCCAAAGAAGTAAGGAATAAGGATAGCCAAAGCCCATTCCAACTCTCACCTGTTTCTCCCATCTATCAGGTAGTCTGGACTGTCTTGATTCTCCTCAAATACACAGACCTCTTTTGGGACTGAATATATCAAGCAAAATGCACTACACATTCCCTCAGTTCCATTCACATTAAGCTGAAAGTCTAGTTCCCAAATGATGCACAAAGGGATAGAGTGTGACCCCCACAAGTGAGTCTTTCCTTTTGCTTATGGTTATATTTTTACTTTATAAGTAGGGACCAGGAAATCATGAAATACTGGTGAGATTGAGTATCCAGGTTTGCAAAGCCAAGGTCCAGAGCCAACCACAGTGAATTCTTCAAGTATGAGTTTGTAGGGGTCTACCTGGTAGATTAGTTATGTTTCTCTGGGTGATACTCCCTTTCCCACTGAACACAGCTACACCTGGTGCTAACTCACGCTAATAAATTATTTCTCTTAGATTTTTTTGAAATGTCACAGGTATAATTAAGAAACAATGAAAGGTCAGGAAGGGTGAGTCTTACCAGAGATTGAAAAACCAGCAGGCCATACTTCTCTGTATTATCATCCAAAATCACGAAGAGTGTATCTAAAATGTCCTGCAGAAACTGAAACAGCATAAAAGAGGAGGGCTCAGGTCTCAGGATCCTGCACATATGGTCAAACTTCGATACAACAATGTATTTAGCTCCTAATAAATAAAGTGAGAATTCTGGGAAGATGTGGCATAAGCAGATTTAAGATCCTGACCCCTCCACAAGAACACCAAGAAAATCATCTAGAACTCCCTATCTTGCTCCGTAAGAACTCTGAAATGACTGGGTAAAACACTCTAGCAAGGAAATGCCAAGTGAAGAAAGACAAGGATAAATCATATGTTAGGAAAAGCTCGTCTTCTATTGTCTCCTCCCACAGCACTAGTTAATTCATGGCTCTCCTATGTGCTGGGAAGGGCTTCAGTGTCTGCCTCGAAAACAAATAGTACCAGTCTCCCAGGGGGATTGTTCAAGGTATCCCCACCCTCTTCCTGGTGCAGCAGACAACTGCAATGGCCCTGCAGCCACTTCCACATGATCAGCCAACACGTGGCTCTCCTGTGCATTGGTAAGGGTCCTGACCTATGGCTCTGAAATAAATCAAACAGATCTTGCTATCACACTGTTAAGGGAATATATTGTGACCAGTATAGAGAAAACCTGAAAACTGAAACTACAATGCAGAGGAGGAAGGAGTGGCAACGAAGGACACAAGCATTACTCTCACCTGAAAATGGTCTTTCAGTGTGCATTTTCCAAATAGAGTGAGGACTGCTAAAGAAGCCCTCATAGAGCAGGGCAGGAAGAGGTAACCCAGAGGCTAAAGGCTGTGCCACCGTGGGAGTGGGTTGATTAGTGAGTGTTTCTGGATCTGTCTGGGAGTTGCTGGAAAACTGAAACCTTGGTCTGGTCAAAATCTGAAGACTGTGTCCACTTAAGAGTTTCTTGTATGTAATCTAATGTCCTGGTTTCAACAAAAGAAATCACAAGGCATACAAAGAAGCCAGAAAGAATGGCCCATCCAAAAAACAAGATGAAGGCAGAGAAATAATATTTATAGAAATTTGAGTAATACACAGATTGAGAGAATAGAATACAACAATATTAAACAAGCTTAAAGAACTAAAGAAAATCAGGAAAATGTTTATGAATAAAGTGAGAATATAAATAAAGAGATAGACATTATAAAAATAATAAAAAATACTGGGATAGAAGGATACAATAATTAAAATGAAAAACTCATTGGAAGGATTAACAAAACAGTTTTGAGCTAACAGAACAAAGAATCAGTAGTCTAGAGGATTGTTATTGTTGTTGTTGTTATTTGCTATCGAGTCAGACCCGATTCATAGTGATCCCTCCTTGGGTTTCCAAGGTAGTATCACTATGGAAGTAGATTGCCCCAACTTCCTTTTGAGGAGTGGCTGGTGGGTTTTAACTGCCAGCCTTCTGGTTAGCAGTCAAGTGCCTTAGGCACTATGCTACTAGAGCTCCTGAACTAGAGGATAAAGCAATTTAAGTTATAGAGATGAAGGAGCAGTAAGAGCCTGATGAAAATGGAAGACACCAGCAAATAAACTAACATATGTATTGTCTGAATCCCAGGAGAGGAGAGAGAAAAAGGGACAGAAAGAATATTTAAAGGAACGATGAAGAAAACTTTCCAAATCTGACAAAGGCATGGATCTACAAATCTAGAAGCTCAACAAAACTCTAAACAGGATAGATCCAAAGAGATGCATACTGACACACATTATAATCAAGGTCTCAAAAACTAAAGATAGAGAATCCTGAAAGCAGCAAGAGAGAAGCAAACAGTCACATACAAAAGATCCCTAATAAGATTAAGTAAGTGCTGACTTCTAAGAAATATGAGAAACCAGAAGGTAGTGGAATTATATGTTTAAGGTACTGAAATAAAAGAACTGTCAACCAAGAATACCATATCCAGCAAAACTGTCCTTCAAGAATGAAGGTGAAATTAAGACATTCTCAGATAAACAAAAGCTGAGAGCATTCATAACCACTAGACCTGTCTTACAAGAAATGCTTAAGGGAGTCCTTCAGTTGGGAAGAAAAGGGCACTAGATGGCAACTTGAAGCCATACACACACACACACACACCCCTACCACCATTAAAGGTAATTGTCTGGGCAAGTATAAGGGCAAGTTTTAAGGTATCTTATTTATTTATTAACTTCTTTTTTTTCTTAATTGTGATATGGGTGAAAGTTTAGAGAGCAAATTCATTTTCCATTCAACAGTTCATACACATTTTGTAAAGTACTTATTTTGTTTGTTTTATAATTCTACTTGCTATATCTTCCATGTTTTATAATGACAAATATATAAAAATAAAAATAAATTTATGTTACAGGTCACTCAAAGTATAAAGATGTAAGAAAAAACAAAACAAAACTCACTGCTATTGAGTTGATTTAGATTCATAGTGACCCCTCCTTGAGTATCCAAGGCAATATCACTATGGAAGTAGATTGCCCAATCCTCCTTCTGAGAAGTGGCTGGTGGAACTGAACCACCAGCCTTCTGGTTAGCAGTCAAATGCCTTAGGCACTACGCCACCAGAGCTCCCAAATATGTAAGAGGTAATAACAACATCAATGGCAGGGAGAAGAAGGGTATAGGTGTAGAGTTTTTATATGTTACTGAAGTTGATATTAATTTAAACTAGATTGTCATAAATGTAAGATGTTAAACATAATCCTGATGGTAATCACCAAGAAAATATTTATAAATATACACACAAAGGAAAAGATAAAGGAATCAGAACTGTTCACTACAAGAAATCAATAAAACATAAAAGTTGGCAGTATTAGAGAAAATGTGGGACAAAGAAAGTTTAAGACACATAAAAAACATAATAAAATGGCAAAAGTAAATTTTTCCTTATCAGTAATTATTGTTGTTCTTGTTGTTATGTGCCGTCGAGTCGGTAATTATAGTGAATGTAAATGATCTAAACATGCCAATCAAAAAGCAGAGGTGTCAGAATGGATTTTAAGAATGATAAAACTATAGGCTGAATACAAAACACAAGTGTGAGGGCCAATGACACAAGCAAGTTGAAAGTAAAAGGATGAAAAAAAAATTGCATGCAAATAGCAGCCAAAAAAGATCTGGGGTAGTGATTTTAATATCAAAATATTAAAATGGCAGTTTTGCCAGATAAGGTATTCTTGATTGACAAAATAGGCTTTAAGTAAAAATCTCTTATAAGAGACAAAGAAGGACATTTTATAATGATACAAGGGTCACTTCATCAAGAAGCTATAACAATTCTAAATATACATGCACCTAACATCAGAGCTCCAAAATACATAAAGCAAACACTGACAAAATTGACAGGAGAAAAGATAGTTCTGTGTTAATAGTTTGAGACTTCATCACTTTTAGTAATGGACAGCATATCTAGAAAGATGACCAATAAAGAAACAGAAGACCTGAATTATACTATAAACCAACTAGACCCAACAGACATACATAGAATACTGCACTCAAACACAGCATCATAAATATTCTTCCCTAGTGCACATGGAACATTCTTGAGGATAGGCCACATGTTAGATAACAAAGGATGTCTCAGTAAATTTATAAACACTGAAATCATACAAAGTAGCTCCTATGACTATAATAGAGTGAAATTAGAAATTAAACACATAAGAAAAATTGGAAAATATACTAATGTGTGGAAATTAAACAACAAACTATTAAGGAAGATATCAAGAGAAAAATTAGAAAATACTTAAAATGAAATGAAAATGAATACACAATATATCAAACCTTATGAGATGCAACAGAGGCTGTGCTCAGAGGGAAATTTATAGTAGTAAGCACGTACATTTAAAAAGGAGAAAGATCTCAACTCAATAACCTAACTTTATAATTTGAACTAGAAAAAGAAGAGCAATCCAAGATCAAAAGTACCAGAAGGAAGGCAATAACAAAGACAAGAAAACCAAAACCAAACTCACTGCCATCAAGTCATTTCCAACTCATAGCAACTCCCATTGGGTTTCTGAAGCTGTAAATCTTTATGGAAGCAGATCGCCCATCTTCCTTCTGTGGAGCAGCTGGTGGGTTTGAACTGCTGACCTTGTGGTTAGCAGTCAAGTGCCTTATCCACTATGCCATCAGAGATAAGAGAAGAGATAAATGGCGAATAGAAAAATAATGGAGAAAATCAATGGAACCAGAAGTTGGTTTCTTGAAAAGATTAATAAAATTGACAAACCTTTAGTTAGATGGACAATTAAAAAAAAGAGATAAGATGCAGTTACTTAAAAAATAGACATGAAAAGAAGGACATTACAATGGGCCCTACAGAAATAAAAATGATCATAAAAAAATATAATACAAAATACTGTCTATCATAAATTAGATAACCTAGACAAAACACACAAATTTCTAAGGGCACATAAGTCTCCTATATTGGCTCAAAAAGAGATACAAGATCTCAACAAAACCACAGCACATGATGTGATTGAATCAGTAATAAAAAATTATCCCCTCAAAATAAAAGTTCCAGATGAGTTGACATCACTAAAGAATCCTACCAAACATTTATAGAAGAAGTGACCCCAATTTTTCTCAAACTTTTCCAAAAATAGAAGAGAGTATGCTTCCTAACTCCTTCTATGAAACCCGGCATCACCCTGGTACCAAAGCCAAGGACACCACAAGAAAACTGCAGACTAATATTCCTTATGAATACAGATGCAAAGGTTCTCAACAAAATACTAGTAAAGTGAATAAAAAATCATAAAAAAAAGATTATTCACCCTATCAAATGTGTATTTATCCCAGGAACTCAACGTGGTTCAACATTAGAAAATCGATCAATATAAACAAACATCACATTAACAGAACAAAGGAAAAGAACCACATGATCATCTCATTTGACACAGAGAAAGCATTTCCAGTATCTTTTCATGATAAAAACATTCACCAAGCTAGGAATAGAAAGGGAATTCTTCAATATGACAAAGCATGTATATGAAAAATGTACAGCTAAAATTATATAACCAATGGAGAAAGACTGAGGGCTTTTCCTT